AAAAAAAAAAAAAAAACTCCAAAGCCCCGAAAGACAAATTGCAACAAGGGGCTCATCCAATTCTGTGGGATGCCTCATTCTTCTCAAACATCCTCTTCCATGACACACACACACGTGCACACAAATTCTACATGTACATCGCATAAGTATGTGGATATGATACGATACGATAATACTACTCATGGCCGTAGCAATGATATCACTTGTTAGTCACTAGTTCGTATTTGTAGTGCGACTGTTTAACATATGCATTAAGCCCCGAACTCTCGCAGAAGCCAACGACTGGCCTGCCAGAGCCGCCCGGCCTGCACAGAAGGGGACTGGGGGAGGCGAAGCTGAGATCTTTCTGGGACCGGAAACCTGTCATCTCAATCCCATGTCATTGTCTTGTTGGCCTTCTTTTCCGTCTGTGCCGAGTTAGTCTGGAAGGTCAATCTGGCTCAAGGTTTGCGCTAGGGCGACTGCATCCCCCCGTACACCAGCACCTCTAGGCTGTAGGGGTACTCCCAAACCTCTCAAACCGACCATGTAACGGTTCAACCCTCACTGATTGACATCTACAGACGTCCAGGAAAAGAACAAAGGCCTTGGAGTAGCGCCAGCGAGCTCTGCCATGCCACATCTAGCCTTATCTTGGCCATTGCCGGGAAAATGCTTAGGTAATCAACGCACATCACAATGTAGATCCGTGATGGATAAGCACCGGTTCAACAAAGGCAACAGTAATTCCGAATAGAATGATACTCATGTGTTTTTCATGTCGAAAAATGTGCGTTAGCACTCACCCTAAGGGTCGAAATACCCAGCACATCGTAACAATCATGCATTCCCTTGAGATACCCTGTTGTGCCCTAAATTCCAAAGCCCCCAACAGCTCTGGCATTGAGGCTTTTAGGGATGCGCATGGCTGCAACTCGCTCTTGACTTGAATCCCGGCAATGCTGAAATTAGCAGAAACAGTATCAATTGCTTGTAGGCTGTAAGACTTCAAAACCCCAAACTACACTTTGAAAGCTAAAATACGGGCCCACATCAGACCTTGGGGTGTACAGGTTTAAGAAAGCACTGCAAGAGACCAATATTTCCGTTACTTCAGGCCCCAATGTTGAAGCCATAAACCCAATACTCCCCCCAAAAAATCGTATACCCTTCCTGACCCCTAAACCCTCCATCCCTGATGAAGAGAACTTCTCTCCACATGGTCCCATGGCGAGGGCCAAAGGACGCCACCACGATGTGGGCGAGACTGAAGCGATCGGGCTGCAGGCCTCAGGACGACAGCGAAAACGTTTAGGATTTTCGGGGTGTAGGGTTTATAGGGCTTAAGGTGTATAGGGTTTAAGGTTTAGGGTTTCTGGGCTTATAGGGTTTAAGGTTTAGGGTTTATAGGGTTTTAAGGTTTAGGGTTTAGGGTGTAGGGTTTTTTTTTGTGTAGGGGTTTAGGGTTTAGGGTTTCGGGGTTTTTAAGGGTTTTGGGGGCCTTCATCATGTCGATCGGGTTGGGGCGATACTCTGAAGCCCCTAGTCAGGATTTTGCTGGGCCTTTATCGGGTGCATAGAAGGTTATCTAAGGTCTTTATGGAAGTGATGTTGCTAGTTATGGGGGCTCCTGCAACAGCCTGCTACTTGTTTGGCTAATGCCCTACGACTTCGACCCTGAACTTCTGAAGATACCATATGTGTTTGTGTATGAAGTTTCCGCGTCCCGGTTCGCCAGGGGGCTGTGCTGGTGCAGATCATCGAACAAGCTGAGCGCCAAAGTCCAGAACCTGTGCAGCAGAATCCTAATCAGGGTCGTCCGTTTCATAAAGACAGTAGACGGTCAGAACCTATCTGACTCTTCGATATCAGCTGACCTCTAAAATGACAACCCCTGATCTTCCGTCTAGCTCCAGCCTCTGCGGTATCTACACAGTGCTCAAGATGAAAAGGCGCTAAAACATGACCCCATACCCTACAGAGGCCTATAAGTCAGGTCTTCAACAATCCTGATCCCATGAACCAGCCGGCAGTCGTAATTTCTATTGGGCTACAACCCTGTCCCTAAACCTTAAACGGCAAACCCTAAACCCCTAAACGCCCTTAAATTCAAAAGCTCTCAGACCCTGCGCCACAGCATCTGAGAACTGAGTACGATTACCCTTTTTAGCAACCCTGGGCTCTTTTCTCGCGCGGCTCGATCAAGAAGGCATGGCATAGAAGAGTGTGGGCACAGGGTTCGGGGAACCCAAGATCGCGAAAGTCTATAAACTACCTGAAATCAGGATTAGGTCTTACGCCTTCTGCTTTAGGGCTCAGGGTCTTGATGTCTTTCAACCGATCAAGACCTTCAGTCACAAACCCTAAACGCTCACCGATCTTCTGCCGGCTTCTCCGTCCTTCGCACATCGGGTGGCCCGATATGTAGATATGGACTTAGAGTTTACGGTTACGGCCTATACTAGGGTTTAGTCGGGTTTGGTTCCCGGCTCTCACAAGGTCCTTTTCTGAGATCTGGCGTTTCGATCGTCAACTTCAACATTGAGATTCTTCAGTCTGCTTACATATCTGCAGTCTGCTTCCATATCTGCATAAACATGCGACCGATTGGTGCCCCCTGCACGCTGCCAGTACAACAGCGTTGTACACTACGGCTTGTAGGCACTTACACCTCTGGGTTGAATTGAGGCTTCTATTGGGTTTAGAGTGCCCGCTTCGGGGTTTAAAATTTAGAGCCTAGGTGGTCTACGGCTTAACACGGCTCGGAAGGGGTTTCCATGTTCGGGTGAGTCCTTCCCGAAGCCCATGTACCCGGCTCTGTTTGCTTAGCAACGCTACACCATACCATACCCTACACCACAAACACTTAACAAAAGCCTGCCACCCAAGCAATGTATGCCTTCGATAGGTGGCTGCGGGTTCAAGCTCTAACTTCAAGCCATGATCTTGGTGCAAGCCTTGCAGGCAGATCATAGCTTCCTGCTGTTGCGTCTAAGGCACTGCGTGGCGTCGCAAAGGTAATTAAAGATTCTGGTGCTTCAGAACTATAGGGCTACAGGTACTGTTTCTATAGCAATATTTACGTATACAAACCCATTATAAGGTACCTGCAACCCCATGCTTACCAAGTCCCATGACCCAGTAGACAAGGAAACACAAGAGCATCGCAAAGGGTTCTGTCGCTGTTGCTGAGTCATGGAGTTCGTTACTTCGCGGTGCCACCGAGACTACTTGTGTACATCATTCGGCAGCCAGGGCTGCAAACCCTACGCCACACCCATGCACGACTCTTGCTTACTTAGTTGCACTGCTCATGCATAGTTCACCTATCAAATCACAATAGTATACTCTAAGCCTCAAACCCCTAAATTAAAATTGTACCCAATCGTCCCAGACTGTAAGACTGTAGGCCCGTGAACAGACCGAAAGTGAACTCTGTAAACATGTAACCGTAAATCATTGAACCCTAAACCCAGAACCTCGCTAACAGGAGCCAGAACCAAGAAGACCCTAGAAACCCATATTGCACCGTATTATCGCAACCACAAATAAATAAAAATAAAAAATATAAATCAAAAATAAAAAATACATATATATATAATATATATATATTTCTCAAAGGAGAGATGCAGGCGTCCTCGTCCCGACGTCTCATGCAGCGCGCAGCGCCACGCGGAGCATGCCTTGCATCTCGGAGCAGAGACTGCGGCCGCGCTCCTGCTCAAAGAGAACATGTGCTTTCTTACAAAAAGCCCCAAAAGCTGGACGGCAGAAAGCTTTAGGCTTTAGGGTCTCGGGATTCTTGTCAGGGCTTATAGGGAGTAAAGATTAAGGCATCTCTAAACCCAGAAGCATCTCCTCCAAGATTCGAAGAGCGGGTCGAGCCGCCGGCTCCTGACGCAATGACCACAGAACGATGCTTGAAGCTTTACCCATAGGCCTCTAAGTAGTTCCTTTTTGGGATGACTTTATAGGATTCTAAAAATAAGCCACACAAAAAGGAACTACTTAGGGGGCTGTGAATAAAGCTTAGCATCGAAAGCAAAAAGCTTGAAAGGTAAAGCCACCGAAACTCTCGGAGCCCGAGCAACTTAAAGCCGCCCTAGCTCCTGACGTGTCTTTCGGCCTATAAAAAAAGTTTGTCGACTTAGTAGCCCTTTATAGGTTTTTTGGCCATGTATCTACCTACGAGTATTTCTTGGGGGTTTTAGGTGAAGGCTGCGGAAGGGCGTGGGAGAGCGAAGGTGCGAATCCTGAAACCTGGACCTCTTCAGGAAACTAAGGGTTCAGGGCGTTTGGAGCGGAGGGCTTCAACCCGCACACATACCCAAAAGGTCCTCGGTACTGCCATATGGGGGGCATACTTGCCCCAAATCATATTTTATGAATTCCGAAGACAGAAACCCTACATTTTACTAACATATAGTTATATATTAGTACCTATATATGAATATGTATGTACTTAAGATCTTTTCGAATACCCTAAGTAGCAGGATCTCATAAGACTAAAACAAGACGTTTTTCGCAAACAAAACAAGTGTTCGACGGCATCCTCGCGGCAACCTTCCAAAAGCAAATGCGAGCTGACAGAGCCTCTCACAAAAGCCTACGAACCCTGAACCCCAATCCTAAACCCATCTAAACTCCATAAACCCAAAAACCGCTGAACCTTTAAACTCGGTAGCTTGACTAAGGCTCCGCTGTGGCGGAGTGGGCGGCTACGCTCATCTTCTGGACGAGCAGGTCCCACGCCTTGATCCGGTGGGTCTTTTTGATCTTGTGACAGATATGAAGGGTTGTCAAACCCTAAGGGTCCATGTACCCAAACACTATATACGTTGGCCCCAATGTACCTATATGGGGACTACTTTAAGGCCAATGTATCGACTATATGAGTACATGGACCCTTAGGGAAATGAAGGGTCCTGAACTTAGTTTGGGGGGTTGGGGCGCAGGTTTGAAGGCTTCCAAACCCCTATGATGCCTAGGTGAGCCACGAAACCACAAGTCCCCGCTTAGTATGAGGGGCTGAGGAATACTAACAGGGTTCTAGTACCGGGTTCTAGGGTGGATTCTAGTATACATAGTTCTGCAAGAAATAGAATGAGACAAAAACTTCACACGACATCACGGCCCCAAAGAGTGCGAGTGTAAGGCCTACCAGGCATCGAACAGCAAGCTTTATTTCCATCCGCAGCGCCCTGCGATCCGGTCACGAACCCGGAGCCTCTACCTATGGAGAGGGCGGAGGATTCCTAGGGTTTAGGGTTTTATATAGGGTTTAGGGTTTATATATGACTGGGGCTTATATAGGGTTTAGGGTTATATGGGGTTTAGGGTTATGCTGCTTTTCTTTTTGCAGGGCCTGTGACGTGAGAGACTGCACGTGGCTTATCGCCCAGGCTAGAAACAACTGCGGAGGCAGGACCACAGGGATCTTGGTACGGAGGGCCTTTATTTCTATACCGATTTTGCTGTCAAGTCTCAAGATGTCCTCGGGACACTCAACCCCCAAACGTAGACCCGAAAAACCCTGAGCCCTAAAGACCCTATAAACCCAAAACCGTAGACCCTATAAGCCGCAAGCCTTAAACCATAGACCCCCCTAATCCCTAAACCCTGAACCGTGGACCCTAAACCCTAAATCCTAGACCGGCCCCCCGCTACCAAGGCCTCCTTGACCTCCGTCGCTTTCTCCTAGCGCGCATCTGAAAGCGGAGAAATTTGGAACTACCCATAGGCCCCTAAGCAGTTCCTTTTTATGGTTCATATTTAGAATCCTACAATGTAATCCCAAAAAGGAACTACTTAGGGGCCTATGGTTATAGGGTTTGCAGGTAAGATCAAGAACAAAATCAGAGCTCACTGCATTATGGCTTTCATTCTGTGATAGGTTCGGGAGGAACCGAGGAAAGGAGGACACGTGACGGGAGTCGACTTGTCGGTCTGGCGAGGAGGCCACCGAGCCCCGCAACAGAGGGGCTCTTAATCTTCATAAGCTTAAGCATCACCACACGATAATCCCACCCAAACAAACTAATCGAGCCGCTAGAGGTGGCTCCACAAATCCTCCACCCTGGCAGCCCTAAGCCCCAAAGCCCCAAACCGAATGTGCCCCTGGGGAAGATGGGAATCCTAATGCTACAGGGTCTGAAGGATGAGACTACATCTTTGGGTGCACAGGTTCGGGGGACAGCAGACTATTCAGACCTCTGCTATTATGAATTCGACAGCAAACCGATGGCTCCTCAAGGAGCTTTGCCTGAGGGTTCTCTTTGTTCTTGTCGACATGCGGTGTAGCGCGCTGCGGAAGCAGCTCGTAGAAGTTGAAGTAGATCAAAGCCTCATGTTGGTGTTTTTGGTCTTGGGGTTTAGGGTTCATGGTGCTTAAACTTAAGCCCAAAGCCCTTCAGAGCCCTGAGGGGCAGAAATCTTGTGCTGCAAACGCCGATTCTCACACAGGCCGTCTCGGCGGGCAGCAAAGCAGCACCCTTGTATCCTGCATGTTTCAGGGTTTCGGGTTATCCTGGCTTTGCTCGTCGAAGAAATGAGGAATCAGGTAGCGTAGGCTGTGAAGGCTCAACACCACCGAGCGCGGCGTGAAGCTTCTACGAGCAAAAACCATGAACTCGCAAAGGATCCCTCAATCACACACAAAAGGAAAAAAAAAAAGCAAAACAAACAAAACAAACACACCACCAAACCGACACATACCGGCTCTTTCAAAGCAGACCCAGCCTTCGTCTGACCCAACAGCCCCTTGGATGGACAGGTAAAACATACCTGCAGAGAGGTTCATGACGACGATAAAAAAGGATCACGGCACTCTTTTCTTGGTGCATATTGTTGTATCTGGGTCCAAGATGATAACCTTCGTCCTCCTCCTCCTCCTGCTGCTCTGTCTCAGTCGGATCATCATCGACACCAGCACAAGTACCCTCGGCATCATCATCAGGATTTAGGAGCCAGAGCAGGGCTTCTAAATTCCCATTCCGATGAGGGACCCCTGCGAGCGCCATGATGATCACCGCACAGACCGTGATGAAGGCGGCCAGGAGTCGACCTGCACATATCGTCAGGCCAGGGAGATGAGTTTTGGGTCAAGGGCTAGGAAGCCAGGGGCTTGGCCGAAGCATCATCTATTATAGTATGTTATAGTACATTATAGTACATTATAGTATATCACAGTTTATTATAGTATATTTATAGTATATTTATAGTATATTTATAGTATATTTATAGTATATTATAATGACAATTTCTGAGAGTCTAATTGGCCACAACCAGCCCGCGTGCTTACATCAGACGGATCCTGCACCTGTACGTTGATGACGATATTCCTAACCTTAAATCCAAAACCCCGAAAAACCGCGAAGGCCCTACACATCCCTAAACACTAAAGCCCCAATCAAGCACTCACTTTCGCTGGGATTGGGGGGCCTTTGAGGCCTCTGCGAACTTCACATCTTCCAAAAAAGAACGAACCATACCATGGTAGCGACTTCGTAGGTTCTGATCTTACAACCAATAAAGCCGAAACGGCCCTTAGCAGTACAGGGCCGACTCAACAGCCGCGGCACCGATTCGAGTGAAGGGAATCACATCTCCATAGCCCACTGTCGTCAGCGTGCAAATGGCGAACCTGTCAGGTCAAGGACGAAGGAGGGGCGCGCACCCGTGTTGAACAGGAAGCACTGGAAACCCCAAAACCGAATGATGAGAGATCCCTCTTAAGAAGGCAGCTTCTCCCCTTCCCCGCCACGTAAGTCTCAGCACATTCACACGAAATCTATACCCACACTCTTATGTTAACCCGATGTTCGTAAGGCTCCCACAGTTCTGCGAAGTCTGAAATCACGATGCGAGACATTTCATCCCAAAGTGCTGGCGCGTCGCGACAAGAGCCAAGACCCTTCACATGACGAGTATGACCCACCAAAGGGTGTATGTCCAATATACCATAAACCTCCAGGGCCAAAATATCCTACTACTTTGATACCTATAGACCCTGTGGCTAGCTACTTGGGAGCCTGCCACCGTACGTCAAGGGCAAACATATGCAGAATGTTGGTGCTTAGATCGGTTGGTGAAATTGGCATCCCAGGTAAGACTCCAAGGCATATACATATGGCTACAGCAGGATAGATCCCTCTAAGTCCCACCCAGACCCAAAGGACAGAATGAACCCAGGCAGTGTTTCGGGCCAGCCCCTGCACACCTAAGCCCTCATGTAAACTCCTCGAACCAGGCCCGGCCAGAATGACGCAGGAATGGACTCAAAGCCCTTGCAGGGCAAGCCAAGCTCCTCACGGCAAATGTTTAAACAGCTTTTCGGGTTTACCTGCTGTGTACGAAGTATTGGGTTCTTGTTAGGGTTTAGGGTTTATAGGGGTTTAGGGTTTAGGGATTTACTTTAAGTTACCATAATAAGACTGAGGTGTTGAGGGGAAGTTACCATAATAAGACTGAGGTGTTGAGGGGAAGGTACTGCCGCCTGCCGGAAGTGTCTGGGAACGGGATGTCCGGTTGACCCATGTGCAGGGTCCACCTCCTCGAAACTGTTTAACTAAGATTTGTGGACTTGCAACAGACATTTCCAGAATGCCTTCTTGCCCTTTGCCGGTATTGCGAGATGTACATACCCTTGACGCTGCATTGTGGCCATAAATACGGCTGCTGCTACTACTGCTACCGCTGCTACTACCACGTACTGCCACCACTACTTCTGGTGCCACTGCAACTACCACCACTACCACAGGGCTTGTGCCGCTCTAGGAACAGGACATTCTCGTACATGGTCGAGGGTTTCACGGGTTGCAAGGGCTTGCCGCTTAGAGCAAGAGGTACTCTCCAACATTGAAAACAAGCGAACCTCGAACTGTATACTGGAGTAACACGACATTCATGCGTAGTCCTCTTTAAACTCGGGTTAATTTAGCAAAAGAAAGCAGACAGCCTAATTTAGAACCACCCCGGGCTCGGACATCCAGAACCCACTGCAGGGGCCTTAAGAATTCGAATAGGGTTTTGGGGATCTATTATACTATACTTATGCTAAGGAACCACCCCAAAATAGTATAGGTAATGATTTCGGCGCTTCTTTTTTTGCACCCCAGCAAGCCCCTCCACCTCACCCCTGGCCCTAATTTCTCACTCCTCGCAGCGATCCGACTCTACGAGATACAGGAGGCTCGCAGAGACCACCTGGCTTGGTCCCCAAAAAGAAAATTGGAGTTTAGGGATCCTGGGCTGTTAATGGACTTCCAGGGTTCAGGGCTTACCGAGAGGGCATAGACCTTAAGTAAGTGTTCCCTTCGATGCTTTCAGGGCCTGACAGTGCTTGGAAGGCGGTCTGGCTCAAATCTTCGTCCCGGGCAGGTCCTGTAGAAGCGCACAGAAAAACCGCTAAACCCTAAAGGAACCCCTCTAATGGAACCCTCAAGGCAACCCTTAAAGGAACCTATTAATGGAACCCTCAAAGGAACCCTCAAGGGAGCCCTTAAAGGAACCCTCAAAGGAACCCGCAAAGGAACCTACTACCCATAGCCCTAAGGGTGCCAGTACCTAATTATCAAATACTCTCCAAAATAGTAACCTACATAGCTATTATCCCAAACCCGAGTACCTAATTACAGGGTCCTTTGGACCCTTGGGGTANNCCCTCAAAGGAACCCGCAAAGGAACCCTCAAGGGACCCTTTACAAAGAACCCTTACACGCCATCGATGCTCGGAAGAACCTGCAGGGACTCCCGGGGAGACCTTCCCTAAACTTAAGCTCGGAACCAAAAGAACACCTCTGAACGCAAAAATCTCGAAGCCCCCGATTGACTCGAGTCCTAAATCCCAGCACTTCAGTCCCTAATCCTTCAAAGCCTAAGCCTAAGCCCACCCCCCCCCCCCGAAATTCT